CCAAGGCAGCCCTGAGCTTGGCATATTTGACGAACAAAAAGAAAATGCTGCATCCCTTTTCTTCCCAGTTACAATGAGCAAATATAAGACCCCAGCATTTCTGAACAGAGCTCAGAATCTCGGCATCTTGCTTCAAAGCTTCCAGGGGTCCCAAGGTCTAAACTCTGTTCTGACTTTTACACACTTGAATAGGATTCCTGAGTGAGTATTTCCTCTTGCACCAGAAGCATCGTTTATTTTTCAAGAATTCAAGGGCAATGGGCATGGCTAACTTTCTGGAGTAGTGCTTACATCTGGTGTAGATGTTTATCAAAGCTCATAAAACTGCACACTTAAAATGTGTGCTTTTTATTGTGTAAATCACACCCCAATGAAGGTGATTTTTAAAATGCAAGGACTCAATGTCCAAAGAGAAGCAAACAAAGAAGGAAAAACCATTTTAGAGGCTTTTCTGTAGCCAATAGTATATGCATGGACTTCTCCAGTCTGGGAGCTGGTTGGAGCTGCAGGAAAAACCACAAATGTGCAGGAAGAGGGGAAAGTGGAAGGCAAACTAGAAGAAGAGAGAGAAGGCAAGGGAAGCAGGAACATGTGTTACTTGATGCCATTTCTTTGCAAAGGAACTCCAGCTCTTCTGAAGCGTGTTTGAAAAACACACAGGACACTGTACTATATAATTTGCCACTTGGATTTCTGATGCTGTTTGAAGGTGGGCAAAATAATGACATGTGTTCCCTACTGGCTTCAAGTGTAGGTAAGTTCAAACACATGTTCCTGCCTCCCAGGTCATTTCTCATCAATGCCTCTGTCAAGAGGTCTGGTGCTGCCAGGGGCAGATGAGGAAAACATTCCTAGTCTTGATCTTACAGTGACTTCTTGAACTAGCCCCAGTGCATGTGCTGTTATTTGCAGGGCACCACTTTATGATCTGACAAAAATAAAATCCTGCCTGGTCATGCTCAAAGGCAGTGCAGCCTAGTGGTCAAGGACCTATGTGCTGACCTCAGATTGTCTGGGTTTGAAGTCCAAGTCCTCCACTCACCAGGGGCTTGTTCATCCTCTGGGAAAGCAATCTGCGCCTCTTACAAGGCAAACTATCATAAGGCCCATCTCAATGGGCAGGAACCTGACATTAAATGAGAATTTACACACGAGCCTATGGCAAAATAGCAAAAGCATCAAGCTGAGCTGGGATTGAATCTCAGGCCATCTGACGTGAGCCTATGCTGCTAAGATCAGCCTGACCACGTCTTCATGGACTGCAGATAATATAACCTAAGTGAATTAGGTGAGGGTGGCTGCCTAGATAAACTTGAGGGCTTCTTAAAAGGGGGTGGCAGGGAGTGTCACCACTCAGAGGCAGCCAACAGTTGCCATGTAAAAATGCAAGCCATGTCACCAGACATACCGATTTCTTCAGAGAAATCAGAAATCTGGATTTCTGTGTGAAATCTCCCAGCTCTTAAATGTTGGCAATTGGTTCTATGTTGGTTTTAAAACACCATATATAATAGAGACTAAAGAGATTTCACAGCCAACTGCAGTGAGCCTTGACTGGATCCTGGTTTGAAGAACTAAACTCTAGACAACATTTCTCATATGACTGGGAAGTTTTTAATATGGTTGGATATTTGTTGATGTTATAGAATTTTTATTCTTTCTCTTGGCTGTAATGCTGGAACTGTGTTAGGTAGGAGAATATCCTTATTCTTAGCAAATGACTGCTTAAGTATTTAGGGACAAAGTGTCAGGTCTACAACTTATTTTCAAAGGCTTCAGCCAAAAAAAACAAAGAGAAAAAAGAGAGGGAGGGAAGGAGCCAACAAGGGAGGGAGGGAGGAAGGAGGGAGAGAAGAAGAGGGATGGAGGAGGAAGGGAGGGTATATGGAGAGAAAGCAATATGCAAATATGAAAAAAACAGCAATTGCTCAATTGAGATTAGCAGTCCTCAGCTAGAGGTGATCCTGTCCCCACATGACATCTGGCTATGTCCAAGGACATTTTTTACTGTCACAACTGTGTTGTGGAGTGGGTGCTACAGGCATCTAATGAGTAGAATCCAAGGAAACAGTGCCCAGGATGACTCCCCACAGCCAAGGATGATCCAGCCCCAAATGTCAACAGTGTGGAGGGTGAGGAGCCCTGCTCTAGCAGGAAGGACACACTAGAGTTCGTTTTTACTATTCTCCCCAGGATTTTTGTATACTTAAAATGTTTCACAGTAGAAAAAAAAATTGAGAACTGCTCAAAAACATAAATCAGCATACATAAACAGAAATACACTGCAGACAAACAAAACATGTCTGCATGGTCTGGGAACTGTAGCTGGCCACCATTTGTGGTCACTTCTTCCAATCAATAGAGGTTGAATGTAGCTGCTGAATGAGCATCTGCACAGTTCTTCCAACATGATGTGTAAGAGCCCCCACATCCTCCTGGAACTGCTGCCTTTCTCCCGTTTTCTGTCCTCATCAGCCCAGAAGGAAAGAAGCAATGTGCCCAAGACGCTGAGTCCTAAAACCAACATCACAGAGGCCTATTCTGGGAAAACACAAATGCACGGGTCACCAGGAGCATGTGTGACCTGGGAACAGCAATGTGTCCTTAGTCTTGACATCTGCCCCAGACACAGTTGAGACCAGAGGCCTGGGGGCTGCACAATTTCCAAACTGTGTGACCTTGGACAAGCCAGCATGCAACCTGAGCCATGATTTTCTCATATGTAAGTGGGAATCAAAGTAGTGCCTATCTTACAGGGTAGGTGAACTGAGAACAAAATGAGAAAAGGTACTAGTACAGTGCCTGGCACCCAGGCCGGTTCTCCACAAATGTTAGTTCCTTTTCTGTAACAGTGGTTGCTGCAAGTGGAAAGCACAGGGAGCTTTACAAAGGTGCAGATGCTCAGGCCCAACTCAGAGATTCTGATTTAAATAGTCAAAGGTAGGACCCCTGGCAACAGGACTTTTTGAAAACGCATTCCAGGTGATCCTGAGCAGCAGCTAGGATGAAAACCATACCACAGAAACTGCCAGAAACAACCAATGATTCTTTCTGTTCAGGAGTTTGCACTCCACTCCATTCTGGAATTCTCAAAATGTTACAAGGAGAATGTGGGTTTGAGGCTCTGTTACCAGAGTATAGGTACCCCTAGATCAAGACTCCAAGCGGACCTTTCTGGCACCTGCAGAAGAGCGTGGCTGCAACAGGCTGAGTTGGAGAGATTCTCCCCCCACCACACACCCCAACAGCACTTAGGTATGGTATGGGGAGGCGTGCTGTCTCAACAGGAAAACCCAGATCAAAGAAGGCTTGAAGCTATCATCACCTTCCCGCGTCCATCCTTCCCTCCAACCCTCCCCCATCCCCCAACCAAACACCAAGAAGGTCTCCTTTAAGCGCTGGCGTGCAAGCAAAGGGCTGGGTGCAGATTTCAGCAGAGGAATTAACCCGAATCTCCAAGGCAGCCTACCTATCCCCCGTGAATCTCTCCCTACCAAGGCAACACCCGCTGCGGCAGTCGGCTTCCCTCTCTCCCGCACCTTAACCCAGACCGCGTGAATCCGTAGGGACTGCGGGCAAGGGAAGCCACCCAGCCGGTGAGCTTGGCAACAGGACACCTGGGGGTTGCAGGAGGTGGGCGGGGCCGGCGCCTTAACTCTTTTAGTAGATAAGGGCTGTTCAAATCCCCTTAGCTGACTTCTGTGCCTCATACCTCCCCGTCCGTGCACACCTCCCTGCTGACCTAAACAGAGAGGAACTTCCTCACCTCTTCCCCAAGATCTCTCCCCCAAGCGAAAAAAAAAATCATCGGATACTCTGCGTATAAATAGAAAATAATTACTAGAGAGGTGGTGATGTTCCTTCGCCTATTTTTGGTGGGTCTTTGTTCAGATTTTTAGGCAGGCGCTCGGAGCGCGTGCATACACACGCGCACACACAGGCACCAGGAGGTGTGTGGCGGCGGGGCGGGGGGAATGCAGAGGGGGACGCATGGCGACTCCGTTGCCCACAGCAGTAAAGAGGAGAAAGCTCGAGCCCCAGCCATCCTGCTGTTCGCAGGCCGCCTGCCGCTCTCCAGCCCCCACCAGCCCCTAGTCTCTCCCGGGTCTGGGGACTGCGCCCTCGCGGCTGCGTCCTCCGCCTTCAAAGTTACTGGGTTGTGCGAACCAATTTAGACACTTTTAAAAAAAGCAAAAGGCAAATAGCTCCATTAATCCCCAAATGCCTTCTCCCATCTGCTGCGACTTGCTCGTGCTGGGACTTGCATAATGAATACGGCAAACGGGAAAGTTGACAAATTTGGATGTCTGGGAGGTAAGCCCGGGCTCCGGCCCCCTCGGAGTCCACGCCAGACGCGGCAGAGGCGCAGGGCGCAGGAGGGGTGGGGTGGTGACAGGAGAAAGAAGCGAGGGGGTGAAGGGATGAGGGCAACTGAGGTCCCAATTTCTGTGACCTGCCAGCTCGGAAAAAGCGAAGCGGCCGTTCCAAGCAACGCTTTTATTCTCCCCGCACCCTCCACCTCCCTCGCCTCATTTTCGCGAGCCTTACGAGTTGCAGGCAGCACACAATCCCTCTCTTTCCCTACCTCCCTCACACACGCGCGCGCGGGCTCACACACGCCCCCTTCCCTTTCGGGCTCGCCTGCCCGTGTTTACCCAGAGGCTAGTATCTGGAATCCGAGTGGTGGACCCATCCCCCAAACCCAAGACTTCTGGGTTCACGAGCTCCCAGGCTGTAGGTCTCAGTCCGCTTCAATCCTCGGTGGGAGGGGGCAGCAAGGGGGGCACAGACCCTCCCCCACCCCCCACGCACACACATACGCTCATATCCACACCTGCGCTGAGCCCAGCGCCCCCTCTCCGCGCCCCGAGCCGAAGTTGGCTTCCCGGGTGACATCTCCCAGCGGAGAGGCTAGGGTGCGGAGGAGCGCCATTGCCTGGGGAAAGGTGGAGAGGCGAGAGAAGAGGAAGCGGCGCCCAGAGGGGGGGGTGGCAGCCCACCTGGACATGTGCTCCCTTTGCGGCCGGTGTGCCTTCTCCAGTCCCAGCTTGGTGAAGATGCCCACGAGCACCATGACGGCCACCACCCCGCAGATGATGTAAACGATCAGGTTGGTCTTGTCCTTGGTGGGGTCGTGCAGGGGGTCGTCCTTGCGCGCGGGGGGCTTGCCCGTGTTGAGCCAGAGAGGAGTGTCGTAGTTGGTGCAGGTGCTTTGGTTCAGTCGCCGCTTCTTAAACGTGCAGCAGAACCGGAAGCCACAAGTCCCGCAGCAGAAGATGAAGTCGCCTGAGCTGCAGTTGAACGGCGGGTCCCACTGGCCCATGACATCGAAGTAGCCCCGGCAGAAGTCCGGCGTGGGCGCCCGAGTCGGGGGCGCATCCGAGACCCCCACGCTCTCGCCGGCCTCTCCGGAGGCGGCCCCGGAGCGGTTGCCCCCCGCCAGCACCACCACTCCGCCCAGCTGCGCCAGCTGCCCGTGCCCCGCTCGCTCCTGCGCCCGGCACACGCGGGCGCACAGCTCGGTGAGGAAGCAGCCAAGGAGCAGCCGGAGGACGCGGCGCATCGTGTCTCCCAGCCAGGGCTCGGCCGCTCGGCCGCCGCTGAAGCCGCTGCAGCCGCCTCTCGAGACGCGGCCGAAGCTGCCGAGGCTGCTGCCGGGGGCTGCGAGCCGCTGCGGGCCGCACATGCAGGGAGCGGCGCGGGGCGCTTGGTGGTCGGCGGCCACTGCGCCCGGCTCAGCCCGCGTTCGCCTCCAGCGCGCCGCGCGCGGAGGGGCCGGCCGGGGAGGAGCGCGCGGGGCCGGGCGGGGGAAGGATGAGCGGGGGCAAGCGCGGGGTGCAGGTCCGGCCGGCTCCAGGGGGAGGCGGGGGCCGCAGAGCCGGGGAGAGTCTGTCTGTGCGCGCCTGCCTTTGGCCAGCGGCTCCGGACTCGCCGCTCCGCTCCCGCTCGCAGGATCCCTCTCACCTCTCCAGCTCGCCAAGTGCGCTGGAGAGAGCGAAGCGACACTTGTGGAATGAAGGGAGGGCAGGAGGAAANCGAGCTCGAGAAGGGCGGGGGCGCGGAAGAGGTGACTCGAGCGGGCGGGAGCCAGTTGGGGGGCGTGCAGAGCTGAGAAGGGCTGGCGGGCGGGGAGGAGGGAGCTTTGCCAGCCGCCAATGCTGAAGGAACAGCTCGGATTTCCCGGCAGGTGGAGGACGGCGGCGGGACCTCTCTGAGCTAGAGGAGAGGCTTCAGACCCTTTAAGGGTGCAGAGGCTGCTTCGCCGGTGGCTTTTTCAGGAGTGCATGCGCGCGCAGGTTCGAAGCCTGCCCACTAGGGAAAGGGTGGCTCGGTCACTTCCCCCTGCCCCTAGACACAGACTAGGTGGCCTCCACTCCAGGACAGATTAGGGCGCATTCTGATCAGAACTGCATCTCCCAGATGCGTGAGGCCGCCTTGCCCTTCCCCCTACTGCGCCCTCCAGCCCGACGCGCAACACGGCTGGCTCAACTCACTGGGCCTAGGAGAGGACCAAGGCTGAGCTGGGAAAGCGGGCGGCATGCCCCGGGGCCCAGGGTAAGCACGCCCAAGAGAGGGGCTTGGGATGAGATAAAGTCAAAGAAAGAAGCTCCAGGCGGGAAGGAGAGGCAGCGGACAAGGCCGAGGCACTGGCCTGTCCAAGAAAGGCTTTCCGTGGGACTCTCCCAGGCCCCGGACCAGTCACTTTCTGTTCCTCTTCGCCCTCGCAGCGTTTCCTGCGCTCCACAGGAGGGCACAACGCGCCGGCGCCTCGGCGCGCCCCGATCTGGTGCAGCTCAAGGCCCCGGACCCGCAGTCTCAGCCGCCCTCCCAGTTTCCGGAGCCGGCTGGCCCCTGTCCCCACCAAGCCTCCGAACATCCTCACCCGGGGCTGCGGAGCCTGCCGGCCTTGCTTCCTTGGCTTCCTGCCTCCTGTCAGCGTTTCCAAATCTGCCCTGTCTCGGCTCAGCCAGTTCCACCCAGCCCTCAGCCCGCTCCCATTTCTCCCACTTCTTCCTCTCCTCTGCTTGAATTTGACTCCAGTAGCCCCCAAAACAGCATTTGTACCAAAGCTGCTACACCAGATTTAGATCTCCACACGCCCCTGCGGTTTGTTGTTTAATTGCATTAACTAAGTATACACTTTGCAGTAGGCTAGGCGATTTGCAGTGAAGTGCTGTTTCCAGCACCCTTCTCTCCATGTGGCTGCAGTCAAGGGCTTCTCGGGGCATTTTCAGAGAACCAAGAAGTTGGGCCACATATAAAATAAAATATTGGGGTTCCATTACTGAAAAAGCATGGGGGTGTTATTTGGACTCCATGGCAAGTTTTCTCAGAATGAGAGGGAGTTTGGTTAATTGTGCCTTCTCTTTGAAGAAACATCACCTACTTGCTGGTCTTCCCAAAGACTTGCAAAGAATGACCTTGTTCCAGCAAAAACAGCCCAGGGTCACACTGACAGTGTGTGCATATATATATATTATGGGCTGTATTATGTCCCAAACTCCCCTGAATAAGTGGGTTTTAGTCTAAATTCATCAGATGCATCATAACAGGATCCTCAAAATAGGGCAGTGTGGTATGTCTGTCCTCCCACACCCACAGCGGTGCGAGTCTCTACAAACATAAGCATTGGTGTGCAAACTTGCATTGATTCACCGCTTGCCACATCCCACTAAGCTTGCTTTTTCTAAAATCACCTCCTCAAGGATGCTTAGAGCCGGGCCTCGCATCTAGCAGACAACCTGGGGCTGTTGGCCAAACCACTGAGTGACTGATCTCATTTAACTTACCTGCTAGGTAATATTACCAGGTCCACACCATAGAGGGACAGACTGAGGCCCAAAGCAATTAAACCAATTACCCGGAGTAGTTCAGCAAGGAAGTGGTGCAGTTGGCATTTGACCCAAGAAAATTGACTCTGGGGCCTGGGATCTAACCACTGCAGGTGGGGCCTTCCTAAAATACACCTGCAGACTCTCAGTCCACTTGACATTGTTAGGTATTTGAGTTTTGTCTGTCTCCCTGCCCTGAAAGAGCCTAGACACCTGCAAAGTCCCCCAAACCTACTAACACCATGATGGATATGCTCAGACAATGGGGTTTCGGCCAACATGAGAGGATTGGGATAAATCAGGATTGGGAAGAGCTGCTAGAGCAGGGTTGCTATGGTCCAGGAAGCTGAGGCTCAGAGAGGTTAAAGGCTTTGCCCAAGGCCACATGGCCAGCAAAGGGGAAAGCCAGGGCTGGATGTAGACTGCCCGACTCCTAAATCTCAGGTCTCCTGCTACACCCCACTGCACCCCACCGTGCTGCTTCCCAGCAAGCATCAGAGTTGACAGCTGAAGGCAAAGACACCTTTCCACAAAAGTCAGGAGTTTCGAGGCACTTCAAGATTTGATTTTGGAATTGAGAGAGAGAGAAAAGACCTCAGCAAGAGGAGACAAAATCTAGACAGAAAAGTCCATTTCAGAATCTGCCTCCAATCTCTATAAAATATTGCCTGTCACCAGGACCTCTGAGTCCTGTCCTCAGAAACGACTTGCTCTGGCTGCTGCTCCCGGTTTTAATTAACAGAGACTGCCCCCTGTTTGTGACAAGGAGAGTGCAAGGATTGTGCTTCAGAAAGAAGCCGCCCTGCTCCACCCTGTGTGGCTTATTTGCTAGATTCCAACCTTTAAGCCTCCTATTGTGGGAAGTTTCAACCAAACCAAAGTCCCTTCTTGCTCCTGCCTGCTGTGGCTGCCGCTGCTCCCGGGAACACTGCCCTCCCATTTCCCAAGCCTTTGGAAAATATTTAGAAGGAGGAGGAATCATCTTAGTTCATTTTTAGTCATCAAAGGAAAAAAGTCCATTTCCTCTGGGTGTGTCAAGTCAGTAAATAAAGTCACTACCTCCTAAGAGATGTGTGGTTATCAGGAACATGCCCCTGTTTAGAACATGTGCTCTAGAAGGTATTTCTGGGCTCCTGGAGGCAGAGGGGGAGGGGAGCACTTTATAAACTTCCTAATTTAAACACCTGGTAAGTTCATGGAAGATGAAAATCATCAGTTGCCTCCCCCACCACTACCCAAATGAATTCATGCAAATGTGGTAAAATTAAAATGCAGCTGTTAATGAAAACACTTTCTATGAACACGATGATGACATTATTATTTACAACAGAGGCACTTTTAATATCCAACGAAGAATCTCATTTGCTCTAGCCTTAATTATGTCAGACTGCAGGGCACACTGCAGTAACAGTGTGAGTGTCCTCCCCAACAATTACTCCAGGGAGCCGTGTAACAAAGGATGTTTGCCTACCAGGACTTGCAACCAACGTCTGCAAGCAACTCAACACATCAGATTATTTGTGCTGTGGACCTCATTCAAAAGTGTGGTTTTTAAATCGTCCGCATCAGGTGGCTTGTAGGGTTTCAAAGAGGTTCCTAAGCAACTGTTAGCCTTGAGAAAGGAGAGATGAAACAGCTGTTGGTTTGAAACCTCAGGAGTTCCCCTGGCAAAATTCAAAATTAGCCACATATATGGAAGGCAGGGAGAGATGGAACAAAGAGGCAGACCACTCCAGGTGGGTAAGTGGCAGAGAAACTTACCTACAAGGCTTGCAAGACAAGTCCAAGTCCATACTCACCAGCCAGAATCCTAAAAGTTGATAGAGAGGCATCAGTGGGGCTCATTCCCAAACACTGCCCAGACCATCTCAACACCACATTGCTGTCTCAAGGCTGTGTCCTTGAAACTGCTCCTAGTGCAGGAAGAGTATCCCCAAGGATGGGGACAGGGTGGAGAGCCTCTGATTGCTTGGGTCCAGCTTGAGGTCAACCAGAGGTCATGTCCTCTCGATGATCTCCAACAGCAGCTGAATTACAGCTAGCACGTTGCTGGGTTCAAACAACACACTGATTTGATATATTCTATTTTCTATTTTATATAAGTTATATTTTGTATTATATTTATATTTAATTAACTTGTTCTGTAAAGATAAGGGAAGCCTTACAAAAGAACTGGAGTGGGTCTAAAGTGTGGTTCCCCCAGACTGGAGGTGATATGTGAGATGATTTCTGGTGGTACCCCAACAAAGATTTTTTTTAATAGTTTTATATTTATTTCAATGCGTATCAGAAAAAATAATAATAATGACATACCAAACATGTGGCTTCATGGGCATAAGTGCTTAAGGTACAGTTAATTCTTTTAAGTGCATCAATTTAAAGTCAACTTATAAAAAATAAGAAAGACACTACCATAATTATTGATAAAATACAAATAAACAAATCTGAAGTGTCTAGTACTGAAAACTGAAGTTTAAGAAATGTGGGCTTTGGTACCAAGACAGGTTTTCTCAACTTCAGCATTTTGGAGTGGATAATTCTCGGTTGTAAGGCCGTCCTGCACAGTATAGGATGTTTACCAACATCCCTGGACTCTACCCACTAGATGCCATTAGCATCTCCCAGTTGTGACAACCAAAAACTATTGACAGGCAGATATTACCAAATGCCCCATGGAGGGTAGAATGAATGAAGAGCCACTGAACCTCACCTATGTTTAAAACCTGGCTCTTTCTTATATAAGGTTTATGATCTCAAATAAATCACTTAATGTCTCTAAGCCTTGGTTTTCTTGTAAGATGGGGATAAGCATGGGGCCTCTCCCCAGGAAGGTTACAGACACACCATACCTTCTGTAGCACACTTAGTATAGTGAAAAGAACCTTGGCAATTCTTAAAATAAGAATTTATTTAATATGAATTAATAAGAATCACTCTTATTATGGTGAACCTGAACTTTGTACAGAGTGCTGGGGAGATGGATGTCTGAAACAAGATCCTTGCTCTCTAGGATCTCAAAATCTCTGGGGCAAGATAGACAATAGAGGCAGGGCAGGCTTCCTGGGCATGCGAGCTATGTAGTCTATTACCCCATGCTCAGGAGAGGGGCTCAGTTTGATGCTCTGCAATTGCTTCTTGAAATTCTAAATGATTTTTTGACATGAGGCCC